GAGGAAGAGATATGTTGTAATACCTAGAAGTGCGAGGAAGAGGTATGTTGTATTCCTAGTGTTCGAGGAAGAGGTATGTTGTGTATCTAGAAGTTCGAGGAAGATGTATTTTATATATTATATCAAGAAGTTCGAGGAAGAGATAGTCTATGCTGTATGTCAAGAGGTTCGAGGAAGAGGTACGTTGTATATCTAGAAGCTCATAAAGTACGTAGTGATTTATTTTAATCTGTGACTTGAGACTTCAGACATCGTGTCGTGCCTGTGAAACACTCAGGTTCTAGACTAGACAAATGTACATTTAAAAATGGTTGGCGGTTGTAATTCATGTTTATGTTTAATTTAAAAACAAAAAACCATTAGTTTGCTTACAGTCCAGGAGACTAGCATAAAAGAGCTCTTTACCCCCGAGATCTTTCAATATGAAGCGTGGTAGTGTGTGCTGGATTCGTCTCTGATTTACTATTTTTAAAAAAGTTCGAATGGTTTTCCTTGTTATAAAGTTGTTGGTTTTTTTCGGTCATCGTATGTAAAATATGTACTTGAAATGAGAGGATTTAAATGTCTTTATTTCAATTTTTTTTTCATAACGATATATTTCTCATGATGTCTTGACAATAAGTTCTGTCTCATTTTTCTAGGTTTTTAAATTTTTTATTTTTTTATTATTATTTTAAAATTTATAAATGTTGCTACATGCATGACTCTACACTCTAATTTAATTATATTATTAAATTCCTTTTTTTTTTTTTTGGTTCTTTTTTCCGATTTAACCAGGAAACTCATTTATGATTTAAAAGGTTGGGCAATTATAACTATAGCAGGAACATGATCTTGATTGCAATTGCTACATTGTCATATTACACATACTCGTGTCATTGATAAAAATGTAAAAAAAAAAAATACTTTGTTATGCTCAGTATGATAAACATTTACCAAAAAAATACTTTGCTATTCTAAGAATGAAAAAAATAACACTTTGAAACACTTTAGATGAGCGAAGTTTCTTATTTCCATTTGTGTTCTTTTCACCCGAACTTGTTATGTTCGCCGAAGAACCAAGTTCAGAGACTCCAGAAGTTACAAAATACTGCAGCACGCAGATAAAGAACTCTCTGAGCACATCAGCCGAGTTCTTAGTTGAGAGATCCCCAGTGGCTTTCTGTCAATGAGCGCATTGAATACAAAATTCTGTCCATGGCGTACAGCTGTATAGAAGGCTCTGCACCGGAATATCATAAAGAACTGATTTCTAAACATGTATCCTTAAAGAACCTGCGGTCTTTAACACAGTCCTTACTGAGAGTTCCCAGTGTGGATGGACACAGAAAGAAGTCGTACGGAGTGCGCTCTTTTGAAGCGACAGCGCTACAATTATGGAATAGTTTGCCTCAATCTTTGACGGAAATTGAAAGTGATACAAAAATCATTTAAGAAACATTTTAAAACTTTATTTCGTTAAACAGATTTAATAAGATGAGAGCGCAGTGAGCGTGCTAAAATAGCATGGAGACAAGAGCTATACGCAGTGAGCGTGCTAAAATAGCATGGAGACAAGCGCTATACGCAGTGAGCGTGCTAAAATAGCATGTAGACAAGCGCTATACGCAGTGAGCGTGCTAAAATAGCATGGAGACAAGAGCTATACGCAGTGAGCGTGCTAAAATAGCATGGAGACAAGCGCTATATAAGTATTCAATCAATCAAAAAGGCTTTTTTTATTCTTTTCTCAGTGATTTCCCATATCATGCACTACATAATTTCTTAAATATTATAATAAAATGCGATATTGTATACACATTATTTTATTTTTCTTGTGTTCTTGTTTTGACTATTGGATGGAGCTTTGAGCTGAAGGAAACTGTAGAACAAGGTATGTGGAAGCATGAAGTGTAAAGACGGGACGATAAGCGAAGAACGTTTCAGCTTAGAGCCTCCCTCAGGAGACAGGACAAAGGAAGAAATACAAGAAACAGAAATTAATTCAAAACTTAAGTGTCCGCCATTGTTGAAATATCTTTTTATTGTTTAGCTATCAAATGACGCGTTTCTTGTTTTGTGTTCTCAGATTTTTTCTCTTCTAAATTTCCCTAAAATGTTATTCCTTCACATTGTTTCCCTCACATTGTTTCACTCACATTGTTTCCCTCATATTGTTTCCCTCACATTGTTATCCTCACATTTTTCCCTCACATCATTTTTCTCACATTGTATCCCTCACATTGTTTCCCTCACATTGTTTCTCTCACATTGTTTCCCTCACATTGTTTCCCTCATATTGTTTCCCTCACATTGTTATACTCACATTGTTTCCCTCACATCATTTTTCTCACATTGTATCCCTCACATTGTTTTCCTCACATCATTTTTCTCACATTGTATCCCTCACATTGTTTCCCTCACATTGTTTCTCTCACATTGTTTTTCTCACATTGTTTCCCTCACATTGTTTCTCTCACATTGTTTTTTACACATTGTTTCTCTCACATTGTTTCCCTCACATTGTTTCCTTACATTGTTTCTCTCACATTGTTTCCCTCACATTGTTTCCCCCACATTGTTTCTCTCACATTGTTTTTCTCACATTGTTTCCCCTCACATTTTTCCCTCATATTGTTTCCCTCACATTGTTATACTCACATTTTTTCCCTCACATCATTTTTCTCACATTGTATCCCTCACATTTTTTCCTCACATCATTTTTCTCACATTGTATCCCTCACATTGTTTTCCTCACATCATTTTTCTCACATTGTATCCCTCACATTGTTTCCCTCACATTGTTTCTCTCACATTGTTTCTCTCACATTGTTTCCCTCACATTGTTTCTCTCACATTGTTTTTTACACATTGTTTCTCTCACATTGTTTCCCTCACATTGTTTCCTTACATTGCTTCTCTCACATTGTTTCCCTCACATTGTTTCCCTCACATTGTTTTCCTCACATTGTTTCTCTCACATTGTTTCCCTCACATTGTTTCTCTCACATCATTTTTCTCACATTGTATCCCTCACATTGTTTTCCTCACATCATTTTTCTCACATTGTATCCCTCACATTGTTTTCCTCACATCATTTTTCTCACATTGTATCCCTCCCATTGTTTCCCTCACATTGTTTTCCTCACATTGTTTTTCTCACATTGTTTCTCTCACATTGTTTCCCTCACATTGTTTTTCTCACATTGTTTCTCTCACATTGTTTCTCTCACATTGTTTCATTTATATGACTGTCATTGGTATAACTGTTGTCTTTGTCATTTATATGTCTGTCATTGGTATAACTGTTGTCTTTGTCATTTGTATGTCTGTCATTGGTAAAACTATTGTCTTTGTCATTTATATGTCTGTCATTGGTATAACTGTTGTCTTTGTCATTTATATGACTGTCATTGTTATAACTGTTGTTTTTTTCATTTATATGTCTGTCATTGGTATAACTGTTGTCTTTGTCATTTATATGTCTGTCATTGGTATAACTGTTGTCTTTGTCATTTATATGTCTGTCATTGGTATAACTGTTGTCTTTGTCATTTATATGTCTGTCATTGGTATAACTGTTGTCTTTGTCATTTATATGTCTGTCATTGGTATAACTGTTGTCTTTGTCATTTGTATGTCTGTCATTGGTATAACTATTGTCTTTGTCATTTATATGTCTGTCATTGGTATAACTGTTGTCTTTGTCATTTATATGACTGTCATTGGTATAACTGTTGTTTTTGTCATTTATATGACTGTCATTGGTATAACTGTTGTCTTTGTCATTTATATGACTGTCATTGGTATAACTGTTGTCTTTGTCATTTATATGACTGTCATTGGTATAACTGTTGTCTTTGTCATTTATATGACTGTCATTGGTATAACTATTGTCTTTGTCATTTGTATGTCTGTCATTGGTATAACTGTTGTCTTTGTCATTTGTATGTCTGTCATTGGTATAACTATTGTCTTTGTCATTTATATGTCTGTCATTGGTATAACTGTTGTCTTTGTCATTTGTATGTCTGTCATTGGTATAACTATTGTCTTTGTCATTTATATGTCTGTCATTGGTATAACTGTTGTCTTTGTCATTTGTATGTCTGTCATTGGTATAACTATTGTCTTTGTCATTTATATGTCTGTCATTGGTATAACTGTTGTCTTTGTCATTTGTATGTCTGTCATTGGTATAACTGTTGTCTTTGTCATTTATATGTCTGTCATTGGTATAACTGTTGTCTTTGTCATTTATATGTCTGTCATTGGTATAACTGTTGTCTTTGTCATTTCTATGTCTGTCATTGGTATAACTGTTGTCGTTGTCAATTGTTTGACGGTCACTGCCGTGGACAACTCTATGGAATATAGTATTAAATTATTCACGTGATATTGGCCTCATCTGCGCATGTCCCGGAGTCCGGGCAAAATGTTATATTCAAAGTCGCTAATCCTCATGTTTAGACTATTAAGATGTAACCTCACATTTTCCACTGTCAAGATGTTTAGACTATTAAGATGTAACCTCACATTTTCCACTGTCAAGATGTTTAGACTATTAAGATTTAACCTCACATGTCTCACTGTGCACACGTTTAGACTTGTAATCTTGTATTTCCCACTCAACAGATGCCAAACTTGATTTGATAAAACCAGTGTCATAATCTTCGTTCACAACCACAGCGCCTCTTAGCCCCGCCCCCCCCCCCCCACCCCCCCCCCCCCCCCCCCNGTCGCTAATCCTCATGTTTAGACTATTAAGATGTAACCTCACATTTTCCACTGTCAAGATGTTTAGACTATTAAGATGTAACCTCACATTTTCCACTGTCAAGATGTTTAGACTATTAAGATTTAACCTCACATGTCTCACTGTGCACACGTTTAGACTTGTAATCTTGTATTTCCCACTCAACAGATGCCAAACTTGATTTGATAAAACCAGTGTCATAATCTTCGTTCACAACCACAGCGCCTCTTAGCCCCCCCACCCACCCCCCCCCACCCCCCCCCCCAAATCTACACCAGAATGCATTTCAACGACACATCCACGACAGCACACGGTCCTGAGTTGAACAGCAGCGGTTCTCCTAACGATGGAACCTGGATGAACAACAGTGGCACAGACCCTTTATTTCCCGACCAATACGGTGAGCCCATCAACAAAGTGGTCATAACCATCGCCTTCAGTTCTGTCTTCGTCCTCTGTGCTATTGGTAAGTCAAACATATCTCTTGGTGCTGTTTTTATCCACAGCTATAAGCAGGGACGTCATTTGGGTAGGGCAAGGCGGGGCATTTAACCCCCCCCCCCACCTTCCCGAATTTGCAGGTTTCATTTAAATTGCTATGTACTGGGGCGCCTCCAGGAATAAACAACTTAAGAAGCCGACCAAGTTTTGGTTGCCAAAAAAATCCCGAAATGATGCCCTTGACTTGAAGGTTCACTTTTCACCATGGTTCGAGATAGGAGCAGATGCCAGACATGTGACAGAATACAAGAGTTAGAGATAGGAGTAAATGACAGACATGTGGCAAAAAATAAGAGTTAGAGATTGGCGTAAATGTCAGACATGTGACAGCATACAAGAGTTAGAGCTGGAGTAAATGACAGACATGTGACAGAATGCAAGAGTTAGAGATGGAGTAAATGTCAGACATGTGACAGAATGCAAGAGTTAGAGATGGAGTAAATGACAGACATGTGACAGAATACAAGAGTTTCATTTTTTAAATAACTTAACAAAAGTGTATTTTTAACCCGGGCGTGCAAAGTGACTAACAAGAATGCTGAAGTCACCCATGAGTGTAAAGTGACTAAACATATTGCTGAAGTCACCCATGAGTGTAAAGTGACTAACAAGAATAATGAAGTCACCCATGATTATAAAGTGACTAACGAGAATGCTGAGGTCACCCATGAGTGTAAAGTGACTAAACATATGGCTGAAGTCACCCATGAGTGCAAAATGACTAACAAGAATGCTGAAGTCACTCATGAGTGTAAAGTGACTAACCATATTGCTGAAGTCACCCATGAGTGTAAAGTGACTAACAAGAATGCTGAAGTCATACACGAGTGTAAACTGACTAACAAGAATGCTGAAGTCACCCATGAGTGCAAAGTGACTAACAAGAATGCTGAAGTCACTCATGAGTGTAAAGTGACTAACCATATTGCTGAAGTCACCCATGAGTGTAAAGTGACTAACAAGAATGCTGAAGTCATACACGAGTGTAAAGTGACTAACAAGAATGCAAAAGTCACCCATGAGTGTAAAGTGACTAACAAGAGTGCTGAAGTCACCCTTGAGTGTAAAGTGACTAGCACGAGTGCTGAAGTCACCCTTGAATGTAAAGTGACTAACAAGAGTGCTGAAGTCACCCTTGAGTGTAAAGTGACTAACAAGAATGATGAAGTCACCCATGAGTGTAAATTGACTAACAAGAATGCTGAGTCACCCATGAGTGTAAAGTGACTAACAAGAATGCTGAAGTCATACACGAGTGTAAAATGACTAACAAGAATGCTGAAGTCACCAATGAGTGTAAAGTGACTAACAAGAGTGCTGAAGTCACCCTTGAGTGTAAAGTGACTAGCACGAGTGCTGAAGTCACCCTTGAATGTAAAGTGACTAACAAGAGTGCTGAAGTCACCCTTGAGTGTAAAGTGACTAACAAGAATGATGAAGTCACCCATGAGTGTAAATTGAGTAACAAGAATGCTGAAGTCACCCATGAATGTAAAATGACTGACAAGAATGCTGAGTCACCCATGAGTGTAAATTGAGTAACAAGAATGCTGAAGTCACCCATGAGTGTAAAGTGACTAACAAGAGTGTTGAAATCACCCATAAGTGTAAATTGACTGACAAGAGTGCTGAAGTCACCCTTGAGTGTAAAGTGACTAACAAGAGTGCTGATGTCACCTTTGAGTGTAAAGTGACTAACAAGAGTGCTGAAGTCACCCTTGAGTGTAAAGTGACTAGCACGAGTGCTGAAGTCACACTTGAATGTAAAGTGACTAACAAGAGTGCTGAAGTCACCCTTGAGTGTAAAGTGACTAACAAGAATGATGAAGTCACCCATGAGTGTAAATTGAGTAACAAGAATGCTGAAGTCACCCATGAGTGTAAAGTGACTGACAAGAATGCGAAGTCACCCATGAGTGTAAATTGAGTAACAAGAATGCTGAAGTCACCCATGAGTGTAAAGTGACTGACAAGAATGCTGAGTCACCCATGAGTGTAAATTGAGTAACAAGAATGCTGAAGTCACCCATGAGTGTAAAGTGACTAAGAAGAGTGTTGAAATCACCCATGAGTGTAAATTGACTGACAAGAGTGCTGAAGTCACCCTTGAGTGTAAAGTGACTAACAAGAGTGCTGAAGTCACCCTTGAGTGTAAAGTGACTAGCACGAGTGCTGAAGTCACCCTTGAATGTAAAGTGACTAACAAGAGTGCTGAAGTCACCCTTGAGTGTAAAGTGACTAACAAGAATGATGAAGTCACCAATGAGTGTAAAGTGACTAACAAGAGTGCTGAAGTCACCCTTGAGTGTAAAGTGACTAGCACGAGTGCTGAAGTCACCCTTGAATGTAAAGTGACTAACAAGAATGCTGAAGTCATACACGAGTGTAAAGTGACTAACAAGAATGCTGAAGTCACCCATGAGTGTAAAGTGACTAACAAGAATGATGAAGTCACCCATGAGTGTAAATTGAGTAACAAGAATGCTGAAGTCACCCATGAGTGTAAAGTGACTGACAAGAATGCTGAGTCACCCATGAGTGTAAATTGAGTAACAAGAATGCTGAAGTCACCCATGAGTGTAAAGTGACTAACAAGAATGCTGAGTCACCCATGAGTGTAAAGTGACTAACAAGAGTGTTGAAATCACCCATGAGTATAAATTGACTGACAAGAGTGCTGAAGTCACCCTTGAGTGTAAAGTGACTAACAAGAGTGCTGATGTCACCTTTGAGTGTAAAGTGACTAACAAGAGTGCTGAAGTCACCCTTGAGTGTAAAGTGACTAGCACGAGTGCTGAAGTCACACTTGAATGTAAAGTGACTAACAAGAGTGCTGAAGTCACCCTTGAGTGCAAAGTGACTAACAAGAATGATGAAGTCACCCATGAGTGTAAATTGAGTAACAAGAATGCTGAGTCACCCATGAGTGTAAAGTGACTGACAAGAATGCTGAGTCACCCATGAGTGTAAATTGAGTAACAAGAATGCTGAAGTCACCCATGAGTGTAAAGTGACTAAGAAGAGTTTTGAAATCACCCATGAGTGTAAATTGACTGACAAGAGTGCTGAAGTCACCCTTGAGTGTAAAGTGACTAACAAGAGTGCTGATGTCACCTTTGAGTGTAAAGTGACTAACAAGAATGCTGAAGTCACCCATGAGTGTAACCTGAACAAACTTAACAGCTTTGTTTAAGAATATTTATACTTGAATTTATAAATTGACGGACACTGACGGACACTAAGGGGTACTCTCGACTACTAGTGGACGCTCCCGAGCACTCACGGACCTTCACGGGCACTCAGGGACATTCACGGGCACTCTCGGACACTCAGGGACATTCAAGGACACTCATGTACATTCACGGGCACTCGGGGACATTCACGGGCACTCAGGGAGATTCACGCGCACTCAGGGACATTTACGGACACTCACGGGCATTCACGCACACTCACGGACATTCATGGACACTCACGGGCAATCACGGGCACTTACGGACATGCACGGACACTCATGGACTTTTTCGGACACTCACAGGCAACCACGGGCACTTACGGGAAATAACGGGCAATCTTAGTCCCACAAAGACAAGGGTTGCCCCAAGCACCAGTCGGAAGGACTGGCTTAATATTTAGAAAACCATGCCAATCTTATTTACCTGCAGCCCATTCAGTGAATGCCGCACCAAATAGAACCTGTCAAAATAGAACCTGTCAAAATAGAACTTGTCAAAATAGAAATTGTCAAAATAGCACTTGTCAAAATAGAACCTGTCAAAAAAGAACTTGTCAAAATAGAACTTGTCAAAATAGAAATTGTCAAAATAGAAAATGTCAAAATAGCACTTGTCGAAATAGAACTTGTCAAAATAGAAATTTTCAAAATAGAACCTGTCAAAATAGCACTTGTCAAAATATAACTGCTTCACCAATTCCCTATCTCCAGGCAATAGCATTGTTCTCTTTGTACTCACACGAAGCACCAGGTCGCGTTCACGAACGAATCTCTTCCTTGCCAACTTAGCAGCGGCAGATTTGTTTGTCGGTTTGTTCTGTATCTTGCCGACGCTATTTCGATTGAACTCATCAGATTGGACACATGGAAGAGTAAGTTTTTTTTTTAAATCCTTTAGGTCAGCGGTTCTCAACCTGTGGGTCGCGACCCCTTTGGGGGTCGCACGACCCTTTCCCAGGGGTCGCCTAAGACCATCGGAAAACACATGTATTCTACAGTTATGAAGTAGCAACGAAAATAATTGTGGTCGGGGGTCACCACAACACGAGGAACTGTATTAAAGGGTCGCGGCATTAGAAAGGTTGAGAACCACTGCTTTAGGTTAACTTCGCTTTTGCTCGTGTGGGTCTTTCTGGGTGGGTTTTTTTGCAAAATCTTTGGACGGCTAATTGAACTTCTTACCGTCCATCTATCGAGATGAAATTTGGCTGATGCAACACATTCTATCAAATTTTCAGCCCACCCACCACCCAACCACCCCCCCTCCACCCCACCTTTAAAAATCTGATTTTAAAGGTGGAGGATGAAGGCAATATTGTGCCACTGATGTCGCTATAAAGAAAATCCCGATAAATGAGCTAAATGAGCTAAATGGGATTTGTAAAAAATATCTTAAGTGCCTTTAGTGCGTAATATTTTCTTTTGTTTTTCTGAAATAACCGGTGAAATAATTAATTATTTTTTAAAATTTGTATCATCAAATCTATTTTGTAAAAGTATTTACAATAATTGACACGAATAAACAGTATAAATCTTGCCGTTAGTAACACAGCTTTATGTATTTCTCCTCTCTTTTACTTAGGGATAAATTGTAGACTCTTATTCTATTATGACTAGTTTTTTTGTTTTTTTTTGCAATCTTCGACTGAATATATCTTTAAAAAATCCTAAATATCCTGGAGTCTCATCCATAAAGAATATTTCCCCACCTTGTCCCTTCCAATCAACCGGTGCTGTTAGGTTATCTGCAAGATGAACAAGTTTGTAGAGAGTGTGAACGTGACAGCATCCATGTTGCTCCTGGAGGTGATTGCAGTTGAGAGATACATTGTCATCAAACACCCGCTTAAGGCCCGGAGCTTATTTACACTGTACAGGATGTATTTTGCCCAGGTGAGTGTTTTCACTGATAATTTCATAGCTTTTAAGTCAAAAAACATTTTTCCCGTATGATTTAAGTCACGAAACTCTACCTCCAGTAAACCACACAGTGGCGTGACAAGAGGTATCTAACAGGAAAGAGGTATCTAACAGGGAAGAGGTAGCTATCAAGGAAGGGGATTCTAACAGGGAAGTGGTATCTAGCAGGGAAGAGATATCTAACAGGGAAGAGGTAGCTAACAAGAATGGGGATTCTAACAGGGAAGAGGTATCTAACAGGGAAGAGGTATCTAACAGGGAAGAGGTATCTAACAGGGAAGAGGTTTCTAACAGGGAAGAGGTATCTAATAGGGAAGAGGTATCTAACAGGGAAGAGGTAGCTAACAAGGAAGGGGATTCTAACAGGGAAGAGGTAGCTAACAAGGAAGGGGATTCTAACAGGGAAGAGGTATCTAACAGGGAAGAAGTATCTATCAGGAGAGTCAATGTCCCCATCAACGGGTATTTAGCGAAGCATCTAGATCTTCAGTTAAGAAGATATATTTGCTGCAAATGTGTGACCTTTGCATGTGACGTATTACACAACATTCGGCTCTAATCATGGTACATGTGTCAATGTATAGCTTCAGTCTAATTAGAAGTCACTAGTGTTGTGAACTAGTTTGTTGTGAATGTTTGGTAGGGGGAGTTGTGGATCGTGAGAGTGTTTTATGAGTTGTTGATCGTGAGGTCAGAGCGTGAAGTTAGTCCGTGGTGTGGAACGTTTTCCTAGGCTGAGTTGTTTGGGGGGTATTATAAAAGGGATGTGTGTTAGCTAGAGGTCAGAGAAGAAAGGTAGAAGAGTATGAGAAGAATTGTTAGTCGTCAAAACTTGTCAGTCAAGAGTTAGTTGAGGTAGTTGTGCTAGCAGAGAGAGACACGAGGGGGTCAAGAGTTGAGCTGATGTGTCAGAGTCCAGCCGAGAGAGTAGTTTTGAGAGTTAGTATTATCGCCATTGATCGTTGTCACTGTGAATTGCTATTGGATCCTGTAAATAAAGAACTGTTGTATTTCCATGCTGGGGTTGTGATCTATATATTGTTATAGAGAGCTTGTTTACATCATATTTCTCGTGCGTGCCCTCTGATTGACCCCACATGAGACGCTGTGTTCACAAAGGGGTGTGGCTTAGGTCTTTGATGTATTCTTGTTTACGCCGCCAACGAATAAAAATAATTAATATGTTCCAAATAGTATTTTGTAGAATGATTTTGATTTTTCTAGAAATTTCTCGAAGGCAGGGCTTGGGCGTCGGTAGACCCACCTATATAAGGGATTGACAGGCACGGACGAGGGACGGAGATTTCAGATAAATTTTCTTAACATTACGAGGCGTGTTTTATTCTTTGTGTATTTGTGTGCTCCTACTTATATGTGTTTATTTCGCATTATTTATTGGCATCATTATTTCTAATTGTATTAACTGTGTACCGGTACGAGATCTACCATACTGTAAGTTGAAGATTGTAATTTTATTTTATTTTATTTTGAAAATTATCTTAAGACATAATAAATCTTAATTAATTGTAACTAGAAACTGTTTTGGGTCGTATCTTTAATAATGTTGATTCTAGGGTATCGTCCTTTGTTAGGCACTGATTACAACGAGCCAATTAAAAATAAAAATAGGAGATTAATTTCTCCCAATACAAGTCAGTGCGTAACAATATATAGATGTGAAGAAAGTGTTGTAAACCCCTAGACAACGTGGAGTCTGCTGACTGTGCAGTAAACGAAACTACTGCGGGATGTGTTGAAGTGTGAGGACGAAGATCCTAACATGTCAAGTATTGAGAAGGTCTTAACTGGAGACAACGTAAGGAGTCCGCGACATTTGATGAAGGTCTCAAGTTATTAAATAAAGGTCGTAACAACTAGGATGGATGTGGGGTGACACCCTCACCGGGGGGGGGGGTGGAGGGGCGATACCCAATTGAAAATGCAAACTTCACTGAGTTCACTCCAATCTGTTTCTTAACTGAACTCAGTTCAATACAACAACAGAATGCCGCCAGAACAGGATGCCATGATAGAAGGGTGACATCAGAACAGAGTCTCACAAGAGCAAGATGCCACCAGAACAGGGTGTAACCATGACATAACAGGGTGCAAAAAGAGGGTGCCACATGAAACTGGTTCCACCAGAACAGGATGCCATCATAGAAGAGTGACATCAGAACATAGTCTCACAAGAGCAAGGTGCCACCAGAGCTGGCTACCGCTAGAGCAGGGTGCCACCAGATGACAGAGCAGGGTGTAAAAAATGGTGCCATCAGAAACTGGTTCCACCAGAACAGGATGCTGCCAGAGCCTGGTGTCAACAGATCAGGGTGTCACCCAATCAGGATCCAACAGAGCACTAGAACAGGATCCCAACAGATCAGGGTGCCACTAGAACAGAATGCTAACAGATCAATGTGCCACTAGAATAGGGTGCTAACAGATTAGGGTGCCACTAGAACAGGATGCTAACAGATTAGGGTGCCACTAGAATAGAGTACCAACAGATCAGGGTGTCGCCCAATCAGGATCCACCAGGGCACTAGATCAAGGTGCTACTAGAACAGGGTGCCAAGAGATCAGGGTGTTACTAGAATAGGGTACCAACAGAGCTCTAGATCAGGGTGTCATTAGAACAGGGTGCCAACAGATCCGGGTGTCACTAGTATAGGGTGCCAGTAGATTAGGGTGCCACTAGAATAGGGTGCCAGTAGATTAGGGTGCCACTAGAATAGGGTGCCAACAGAGCACTATATCAGGGTTACAGTAGAACAAAGGTGCTAACAGATCCGGGTGTCACTAGAATAGGGTGCCACCAGATCAGGGTGCTAATAGAATAGGGTGCCACTAGAATAGGGTGCTAACAGAGCATATATCAGGGTGCCACTAGAACAAGGGTGCCAACAGATCAGGGTGCCACCCAATCAGGATCCATCAGAGCACTAGAGCAGGGTGCCACCAAAACAGTTTGTAACCAGAAAGGGCAAGGTGCCATCAGAGTAGCTTGCACACAGATCAGGGTGCCAAATGAGCAAGATTCTACAAGGGTGCCACCAGAGCAGGGGGGCACAAGGGGTGTTTGGGAGGTAAGTCTAGAGGGGGTGAATAAAATGTTAGGGGAGCATGCATGTGACGCCGGGCTCACTTTGCAAGAAGAAAATAATGGGGCAATATGTGAGTGTATTGATTGTTTGCATTGTGAACTCCATATCAGACCAACGGCTATCAGAAAGTAGCAATAACGTTTGAAGCAGTTTGAGATAAGGCTCTACTGTTAGCGACTGAAGAAGAGTTGTTGGTGTCCATTCCCAGACTGACCACTTTCTATGAATTAGCTGAGAGTGAACTTTTAATTGAAATACCAAGGCTGCGAAGGTAGGCCTACGTATATTCAGCAGATATTAATCTCGACGATGCCAAAGATTGGTCAGTGTTTGAAATGCATAGCTGAATTGGACTTCGTGGAATATTTCCTAATCCTCTCGTGAAGCCTACCGATTATTTGATTTCTCACTTTCCATGTGATTATTTGATTTCTCACTTTCCATGTGATTATTTGATTTCTCACTTTCTATGTGATTATTTGATTTCTCACTTTCCATGTGATTATTTGATTTCTCACTTTCCATGTGATTATTTGATTTCTCACTTTCCATGTGATTATTTGATTTCTCACTTTCCATGTGATTATTTGATTTCTCACTTTCCATGTGATTATTTGATTTCTCACTTTCCATGTGATTATTTGATTTCTCACTTTCTATGTGATTATTTGATTTCTCACTTTCCATGTGATTATTTGATTTCTCACTTTCCATGTGATTATTTGATTTCTCACTTTCCATGTGATTATTTGATTTCTCACTTTCCATGTGATTATTTGATTTCTCACTTTCCATGTGATTATTTGATTTCTCACTTTCCATGTGATTATTTGATTTCTCACTTTCTATGTGATTATTTGATTTCTCACTTTCCATGTGATTATTTGATTTCTCACTTTCCATGTGATTATTTGATTTCTCACTTTCTATGTGATTATTTGATTTCTCACTTTCCATGTGATTATTTGATTTCTCACTTTCCATGTGATTATTTGATTTCTCACTTTCTATGTGATTATTTGATTTCTCACTTTCTATGTGATTATTTGATTTCTCACTTTCTATGTGATTATTTGATTTCTCACTTTCTATGTGATTATTTGATTTCTCACTTTCTATGTGATTATTTGATTTCTCACTTTCTATGTGATTATTTGATTTCTCACTTTCTATGTGATTATTTGATTTCTCACTTTCTATGTGATTATTTGATTTCTCACTTTCTATGTGATTATTTGATTTCTCACTTTCTATGTGATTATTTGATTTCTCACTTTCTATGTGATTATTTGATTTCTCACTTTCTATGTGATTATTTGATTTCTCACTTTCCATGTGATTATTTGATTTCTCACTTTCTATGTGATTATTTGATTTCTCACTTTCTATGTGATTATTTGATTTCTCACTTTCTATGTGATTATTTGACGTCATGTGAGAGGATTCTTTCAAATCTGAATATTTTAAAGAACTGTTTACGTCACACCATGAAACAGTGCAGGTTTTCTGGACTTGTGATTTGTTCAATTGAATCTGACAAGGTGAAGAAAGTTCATTTTGCTTGTATCTTTGGAGAAGGGAAGGGAAATTTTTTAACTGCAAAATTCAAGGTTTCAATAAAAAGTAACTATGTTGCATTTTTAAAATGCTGTTACCTCCCTTCTATGTCTTCTTCTTCTTATGTCTTTTGTTGCTTTAGAACCTAATTGACTATTACAACTTTGAGCATTTCTCTTTGATTTGATTAAGAATTTCGGGGGATGGGGGTGGTCTTGAATTCAATTAATTAAAACATTAATAATTCAAAATAAATTAGTCAATGTTGACTAAGCCTGCACCGTATACAGCCCGCGGGTCGCATGCGGCCCGCCAGCACCCACTTTGCGGCCCGCAAATTAACGATATTCTTTATTATAATTATTTTCTAAATAGCTTTACCCCCCCCCCCTTTTTCCTATTATCTTTCGGCCCACACACGATTTTCTTAAAGTATTACGAGTATTACGGCCCTCCTTACATTTTAAGTTGTGCAAACGTGACCTACACAATCGATGACACAGCATCCAATGAATCCTATGACATTTTTTACCTTGGAATGTTTTCACATTATTTGTCTATGCTATTCGTTTCAGTTTTTCGTCTGGCTTGTGTCCTGCGCCTACAATGCGCCTTACCTCCTAATGTGGGACACGATCCACACGGTCGAGCTGCATGGCAACCAGCTGGTGTCGGAGACCAACTGCTTGTTCCAGAATGAGTACCGGGAATCTGTTAAAATCTACTATATCTGCTCGTTCGTCGTTTGGTACGCCCTGCCCTTGCTGGTGATGTCTTTGTTGTACGGGAAAATTGCGCGCACGCTGTGGAAGACGAGCGCACAAAATGACATGTTAGCCTTGAGGAAGAGGATTAGCTCGGCGGCGTCGGAGGAGGGCGGTGAGACGACCGGAAGCACTTTGGCCTCCAGTCAAACGTCAGACCCCACCGCACAGAGCCCCCCTCCTGTGAACTCCGCCTGCTGCAACGGGAAAGGCGAAGGAGGGGATGACTGCCCGAAGGGTGGCGGTGACGTTGCTGGGACTAGAAACACGAGTGCACAGGCCGCGGCAACACATTCCGGCAGGCAGGCCTACACGTGGACGGGGGGTGGCACACACGCCAAGAACGGGTTCGTTAAGGCAAACGGCAGCTCTTGCGGCTCTGGAAATGGGAAAGCTGCATTTCTCAAGGACCGGCATCACATCACGCGATCGACCAGTGATTCCGACAGCGACGATAACTCAAGCGATAATCCAGTCTTTGACAGTAGGCGTGACGACGGCGCCAGTCATCGCAGCGTTGTCAGGAAGTTCACAAGACAAAATGGACGATCAACTGTCTCAGTGCCCGCGTCGTCCCGCGGTCCCGAGGATAGAGAAGCTCAGACTTCCGGTGCAAATCATTGCCGCTATCGCGTGACATCACAGCGCGCGACCTCCCGACGGCGGGTCATTCGTCTTCTTTTGGCCGTCTTGATTACTTTCGCGTTGCTGGTGCTGCCCAATCATCTGAGACTCATCATAATGAGCATGACGTCACTGCCGGGCTATTTCGCAGGGCAGGCGTTTATTGCCCCCATCTGCCAGACCCTCCTGTACCTCAACTCGGCCATGAATCCCATCCTATACTGTCTTCTGTCTCAGAGCTTCAGGCAGAGCATCAGGGAGGCTGTGTCTTGTTGTTTTTCGTGGAGAAGAAAGCGCGAGCAGATGGCTGTGGGTAGGCGCGTGAAGACTTGAAGAATCTGTGGACGTGATACTTGACATCAGGGTAGAATAAGGCTTGACAACTAGGGTAGAATAAGGCTGGACAGCTAGGGTAGAATAAGGCTGGACAACTAGGGTAGAATAAGGCTGGGCAACTAGGGTAGAATAAGGCTGGACAACTAGGGTAGAATAAGGCTGGAAAACTAGGGTATAATAAGGCTGGACAGCTAGGGTAGAATAAGGCTGGACATCTAGGGTATAATAAGGCTGGACAGCTAGGGTAGAATAAGGCTAGACAGCTAGGGTAGAATAAGGCTAGACAGCTAGGGTATAATAAGGCTGGACAGCTAGGGTAGAATAAGGTTGTACAACTTAAAATTAAAAGACAGCTTTATATTTCCATGGCGTTCTGAACTATTTCCAGTTATATTTTTAACCTTAAAAATGTCAGGTCATAGGGGCTGGGCTGTCTGGGTGGGCCTTTATCACTGACAGGAGTAAGGCTGATAATTATGTGTGTATTGTTTTACACGGACATAGCTTTTAACAAGGCTCTTGCATTGTTTGTATTGTTTTATGGATATAGCTTTAAACATGTATCTCGCGTTGATATTAAAGAAATAATGAAATCCATTTTTTGTGTTTCATGTGTGCGTGAGTGTGTGTGTAAGTACGTGTGTATGTGTGTGTTAGTTATTGTTCATGTGTGTTACTGGTACCGGGTATTATAATTATGCGCGTAGGCCATAATCTCAGTCTTAAAGTATTTTTAAATGCTTGAAGTCAATAACTGGAAATATTATTGGAATGCATTAGCCTTGGGGTAATCTAGGCTTCAGTGTAATATATGGGCACCAGGGGTGGGGGAAAGTTGAAATGCCGTAGAGTAATCCTAGGCATCAACATAGTATATATGGGGACCACGGGTGGGGACAAGTAGGAATGCCTTAAGGTAATCTTAGGCATCAACATAGTATATGGGGACCACTGGTAGGGGGCAAGTTGGAATGCCTTAAGGTAATCTTAGGCATCAACATAGTATATGGGGACCAATGTTCCCTCTAAGGTATGTTGGTTCGTGTGCAAAATCATATAGTTATGTGCAAAGTTTTACAGCATCAATTTTTGTGTGCAAAATTTTACAGCCCACAAACACAAACTTACATTGCCCCCTAGGTCAATAAACCCCTAATTAGTTAAACCCCTAGGTCAGTAAACCCCTAGGTCAGTAAACCCCTAGGTCAGTAAACCCTAGGTCTGTAAACTCCTAGGTCTGTAAACCCCTAGGTCTGTAAACCCCTAGGTCAGTAAACCCCTAGGTCAGTAAACCCTTAGGTCTGTAAACCCCTAGGTCAGTAAACCCCTAGGTCTGTAAACCCCCCAGGTCTGTAAACCCCAGGTCTGTAAACCCTTAGGTCTGTAAACCCCAGGTCTGTAAACCCCCCAGGTCTGTAAACCCTTAGGTCTGTAAACCCCTAGGTCTGTAAACCCCTAGGTCTGTAAACCCCTAGGTCTGTAAACCCCCCGGTCTGTAAACCCCCAGGTCTGTAAACCCCCAGGTCAGTAAACCCCTAGGTCTGTAAACCCCCCAGGTCTGTAAACCCCAGGTCTGTAAACCCTTAGGTCTGTAAACCCCAGGTCTGTAAACCCCCCAGGTCTGTAAACCCTTAGGTCTGTAAACCCTTAGGTCTGTAAACCCTTAGGTCTGTAAACCCCTAGGTCTGTAAACCCCTAGGTCTGTAAACCCCAGGTCTGTAAACCCCAGGTCTGTAAACCCCCCAGGTCTGTAAACCCATAGGTCTGTAACCCCCAGTTCTGTAAACCCCAGGTCTGTAAACCCCCCAGGTCTGTAACCCCTTAGGTCTGTAACCCCCAGTTCTGTAACCCCCAGGTCTGTAAACCCCTAGGTCTGTAAACCCCTAGGTCAGTAAACCCCTAGGTCAGTAAACCCCTAGGTCTGTAAACCCCTAGGTCTGTAAACCCCAGGTCTGTAAACCCCAGGTCTGTAAACCCCAGGTCTGTAAACCCCTAGGTTTGTAAACCCCCCGATACACCAAAGTATTCCTAAAGCATGTCACTGAGCTATGTGATTCTTGTAGTTAAGGGCAACACCCACCCCACCCTTTCTTTTTACCTATCCAACACATTGAACTGTAGTTTATAAAAATATTACAACGCTTTTTTCCGTTTATTGAGAGTAAATGGTTGCATCGAACAGTGAATCTTTTCCTGGATTTGTATTCGGACAAAAAACATGTTCTTTTGTCTTTGAAAACAACCCTCAGTTCTGGTGTCATCCTGTCCTTGTGTTTCATTTAAATATGTAATGCAACCAACTCGAGCGAGCTCTGTCAAATTAGCAATTCTTCCATTTGGTGTCACCAACCGTTGCCAACAGTCCGGGTACATATACAAATAGTCCAAAAAATATTACTGAAAATGACTTGTCCGTAAATATCCGTAATAGTCCGTAAATGTCCGTAACCACTTTTTATGTTCGTAAAAAATAAGACATTGTACACAATAAAATATATCATTTGAAGAGTTCTGTAAACGTGTCTCATTGTATCAGTAGACTCACGGTGCAGATAAAACCGATGAGTGCGTCTTACGATAAGCTAACGTTTAAAATACGCCCTTGTCTCACAGACAAATGATACACAGTAACAGACAGATAAGTATTTGACATAGCGCATAGAGTCATAGCAATAACGGTATATGGCTCTTTAATGTTTTTAGCTTTATTGCTAGACCATCATAACGTTAAAAACTGCGTCTCTAAGCACTTTTACTTGTGGATGAAAAGTCTGAAGATTTTGAATATTGTTCCGTCAATTTTATTTTATAAGTCGGTAACCCCGGTTGTAACCCCACGTGTCACCAGCGTGTCACCAGCGAGTCACGCCGCTAACTTCTAGCTTTAAGTTAATCCAACACAATCTTACAACTTCCGTCAGATAATCCACGATTGATAATAATAATATAATGTCATTTCAAAATTATGTTTCATCCCTAATTAAGAATCGAAGCGTGGTACAAAGTCAACCATATTTTTTATATTTTTCCACATTCAAATACAAAACGCAACAATAGAAAATCTACACACAAGCCAATGGACAATACAAGCCAATATACATCGAGGATTATGAGCAATCTGAAAACCATGCGGTATACTGCATCACCCCAGCAGGTGAGTGGGAAAAAGATGTGTTTTCAACTCCGTTTTGAAAGACTGCAGTGTCTGGCTGTTTCTGGGAGCTACAGGAAGGCCGTTCCAGATTCGTGCGCCATCAAAAGCGAAAGTGCGCCTTCCGCATTTCCCAAGGCGGACTCGTGGTGCCCACAGTTTGCCACTATCGGATAAACGGAGGGATCTAGTTGGTACATAGTGTCAACTCCTACCGTCTTCTTGGATTGATTACATTCGTCAGTTCTTTTCACACGTTGAAGCGTGGTACTATTCCTACTATCATTGAACAAACTCAACTCCTTTTCATAATAACTATAACTTTAATATCTAAGTAAATATAATACACATACACGTGAATATAGCGCAGCTCGCCATCAGACCTAAATAACACACATCCTATCACTCCAAGGTTCCACTCAAGACTGCCAGCACGACTAAAACATACGTCAATACTGCATAGACACTGCGTCACGAATCAGCATAAAAATACGTCATAGACACAATGGCGGGAAGAGCGTTCACTAACTTTAATAGTCAAGCGCGGGAAAAGCGTTCAACAACTCATGAACATAATATTGAGTCGCAACAATTACTAATGAACGCTCATACTCGACACATAGGGCGTCAGCAGCGTTTTAAGATAGGACGGCGCCAGGTCATGCAAGCAGCAGTAGCCCGGAGTTGAAATTTTGTACTCTATGCGAGCGCGGACCAGCAGCCATTGCAGTTCTCTCAGAAGTGTTTTAGCATGGTCAAGTTTGCGTTTGCGAAGACCAATGCAAGCCGCACTGTTCTGTGCTTTTTGAATTTTATCCAGAAGCGTACCTGGAAGACCCACCATGAGAGCATTGCAGTAGTCCATGCGTGATAGCACGAATGCAGACATCAGCCTCTTTGATGCATCAAACGTTAAAAAACGATAAGTGCAAGACGCCTTCCTAACGTATTTCCTATCTTCTTAGTATTAAAGATTCATATCAGCATATATTTCCTATCTTCTTAGTATTAAAGATTCATATCAGCATATATTTCCTATCTTCTTACTATTAACAATTTTATATTAGCTGAAAATCGTTCAAGACAGAGAAGAAAAGTTGACAGTAATTTCGTTTAAGGATCTTTAGAACTTTTATACAAATTAAAATACTTTTTTCCTTCGTGTTTAAATTATTTGAATGTTAAACAAATGGAAAAAGGTGTGTGGAGACTTTATGCCGATACTGTGCTACCAGGTACGTTAATGCATTGTTTGATTGTATGCACGAAGCGCTTGAGATTTCAACTATTGTGTTTATAAAATGAACAGTAGATCTAAATGTTAATGAGATGAACAAACCTGTAGGAATAAACAATGCTATGACTAATATAAGAGTCGTTGATATTTGTCTTGGTTTTCTTTTATTCCCCTGCGGTTCAATGATTATAATGGCGTGAGTAAATCAACATAAATAAACGGATTTTCTTGAACTGGCGAATTTTTAAATAGGTCAAAGGAAGGAGGGGACATAATCATGGGCCAAAGGAAGGAGGGGGACATAATCATGGGCCAAAGGAAGGAGGGGGACATAATCATGGGCCAAAGACACCACAACGCAATAAGTTGATGTATCGCACGGAAGTTGGGGCACCGGACCTATTACGGGCACCGGACCTATTACGGGCACCAAAATGTCTACTTTAACCGCTGAAAGATGCTCTGCCCCCATACCCCGAACTCCTCAAACCGCCCCCCCCCCAAACCCCCATCACATTGTCTGAAAGAAACACGAACAATAGTTGGAGAAAATTAATTTATTGACACATAGAAAGAATTACTATTTATATAGTTCGAACTGTAACAATGAAACTATGAACAATTGAGAACTGTGACAATGAACAATTGAGAACTGTGACAATGAACAATTGAGAACTGTGACAATGAACAGTTGAGAACTGTGACAATGAACAATTGAGAACTGTGACAATGAACAATTGAGAACTGTGTCAATGAACAATTGAGAACTGTGACAATGAACAATTGAGAACTGTGACAATGAACAATTGAGAACTGTGTTGAGAACTGTGACAATGAACAATTGAGAACTGTGACAATGAACAAT